AACATTGCTCGGGCCCATCGACGATTACACCAATTTCTACGCCACATACACCCATTGACGCCTGTGCTGCCGAGTAAATGGAGGCATAACACGCGGTCGTCAAAGGGCTGCATGATTTCTAATCGTTTTGGGGTGTAACTCGAATTCCTGTAACTTGGTACAAGTTTACAGAAAGCTGATTGGCCGTTTTTCCTCGATTTCGCACGACCTGTGTACCGAGGCTTGTGTAGTGGCTCTAGGACGACCTGAACGCGGTTTATAATCAGTATTGTGTGTTTGTTGGTACCGGTTCACGTTCTGCTGATCACAGACTGCGACACATTAAGCATGTTGGCTACTGCTCGCTGTGTGGAACCCATTTGAAGCATGCCAATGGCACGCAGACGTTCATCATGTTGAAAACGTCGCATTGCAAAATAAACGTAACACACTAAACAGTAAATTTTATGCAAGTATCGATAGGAAAGAAAACTTGGATAGGATAAACCAGCACACGGCAGTTTTCATCAACCCTTCCTTAACGTGTCAAATTTGACAATGAACCCCTCCCACGTGCATGGCTTTTGCGTATCGCTCTTGCAGCTCAGTGGTTCTGTTCTGTGAACATACGCTCAAAGCATGTTAAGTGTCCATGATTATTTATCATATCACATTTCAATATCCCCTATATAATATTTGCAACAATGTGTCGTAGAATACTGGCCAGGATCACAATACGTGTAGCCATAGAATAAGTGCCTAATATTGGAAGCCACCCCAATCATCCTGTCAATGACGGTTGGTTTACGGGATTCCTCATTTTGTCAGGCCGATTTAATAAAGTCGTAACACATTCAAATCTCGTTGTTTTCCCCTTCCATTACATTTCAGCTCCACAGGGAGCCACACTTTGAACTCTTTAGTGCTCACCTTCGTATGAATATGATTACAACAGAACAAGTTATTCCCCCACCTGTGAACTTGCCTTTGTACAAAATACTCCTTGATTTTCCCTATAAATAAACGTTATCTGTGGTGTCTAGGTCTGGTACCAATCTTAACTTTATATCCATGTAATTTATAATCTTATCTGTATAGAACATAATTGTGACAAGTCAAAAATAACACAAAAATTTTCATTCTTTTAAATTGCAGAGCTAGTAAATTCTCTTTCCATCAAAGAAATTCAACATCAGATGTTCGCCACTAAAACACAAGCTTGATTTACGTAAATTTAGCGGGGATCATTCCAAAGTGCAATCATTTTGAGATATATTATGGAAAAACCTAACCCATTGGACACATAAATTGAATTTCATGAACTCTCTTTTTTAAAAAAAACCCCCCAAAACAACGTCATTACCGTATCAATTCTAGAAAACGACTTACTAAATGGATCAAAGCAATTTTTTGTGAACAGTATACAATTCCAAGACATTACGGGAAGGTTTAGAGTCTGTATACAGTCTATACATCAGTATCTGGGCCCGATTCCTAGAAAATTCTTAAGCACGTTCTTGTGCTTAGATTTTAAATAGACTTTGCATTTAAGTAAACTTATCTTATTTTTTGTTCCCAGACAATTCTTAAGAACATTCTTGTGCGTAGACTTCAGTGTAAGCACAAGCACGTTATTATGTGTTCCAAGAAAAAACTAGCACAACTTCGTTCTTAAATAAGTCCCAAGCAAGGTATACGGCTTGCTTACCAACCTTAAGCCTGTTTCTGCTTCAAACAAGATGACTGACCGATGAGTATTCGACGGTATTTCCTACATCTTTTGATACCAAAGAGACAATTGAAAGAAAGAGAAAATCCTTTAGAAACATATTCTAAATGCTATAGAAAATGTCGCTTCTACCCTGAAAGCATTTTATTTATTTACAAATTAGTAAACAATACAAACACGAGCTCAGGCGCTCCCACACAATTATTCCGTCTGTTGAAATGTGGTCGTATGTCCCTTGGCACCAACATAAATATTCCGGGCGTCTGTCGTTCATAGTAGATGATTTACCATTAAATGGTCCTTAATCTGACAATTTTTTAGTTGGTATCTTCAAATATTGGATCTAGACCCATAGAGACTCCCCTTTAGGGCATGTCTGTCATGGGGATGTTACCCCAAATATTGTCTGTCATTACTGTTTCCATAATTAAAACACCTCATTCATCATGTATAAATTGGTTTCACTCAGTACCTCTAAATGTTGGATCCAGACATGTTTTTTAGGGGCCAGTTTAAGGGGGTTACTGCGGTCAGGCCCATGATATATGCTGACAGACGTCCACTTTTATTATTCAAGGAAATACCCGCAACTTGCTATAAAGGTATCGTTGGAGTTCGAGGGCCTGGGCTGCCACACTATGTCAGATAAGCCGCCCATTATGAACTGTTTATGTTCATGTGTAGGCAATTGGCCTGTTAGTTACATGCACTGGTTACCTCTAATAAAAACAGCAGTGCATTTCCGCAGTTTTGTTTTTTGGAAGAGTATAATATACTATTCAAAAAAAGTAGGGGATATTTGATTTTTAAGTGTTATTAAAGTCACCTAATGAAACTGACGAAGAAACAAATGACAAAATGAAATGAAGTTCACATTCATCGATTTATTCCAAATGATCGTTAGACTAAGTAAGGCACAGACTGACCATTATAAGGGTAAAATGATACCCGGGGTCAAACAGCAAAGTTACCACAGCATCACAACCAAGTCAGTAACGGGTAAATCCTCCTCTGTTTGCCAAACAAGCATTGATCCGACGTGGCATACTCCTAATGAGACGTCTAAGGTCATTTTGGTCCAGATTGTCCCATTCCTGTTGCAACGCAGCAGCAAGTTCTTGGACATTGGCAGGACGTTGTTGACGTTGACGTAACCTCTGTCCAAGCATGTCCCAGACATGCTCGATGGGGGAGAGGTCGGGACTCAGTGCTGGCCAAGGTAATGTGGTGATGTTCTGTTGTTGGAGGTAACCTGTAACGATCCTGGCCCTGTGACATCTTGCGTTGTCATCCTGGAAGATGAAACGGCGGCCATGACGTCGTGCGAACGGCACAACATGGACTGCCAAGATGTTGTCCCGGTAGTACTGGCCTGTAACACGCCCTGCAACAACATGTAAAGCCGTTCTTCCAGCAACAGTGATGCCTCCCCACACCATAACAGAACCACCCCCAAATCGATCATGTCTGATGACGTTAACGTCTTGGAAGCGCTCGTTTCGACGACGCCACACCCTCCTACGTCTGTCCAAAAAATCAACAGTGAACCTTGACTCATCTGAAAACATCACATTGCTCCAGCGTCGATTATCCCAGTGTTGACGATCCCTACACCAACGACGTCTTGCCTGAATGTGATGATCTCTCAAACAAGGGATCACGCGAGGACGTCGGGCGCGAAGGTGACCCCTATGCAGTCGATTCCGAATCGTCTGGCCACTCACTCTCACATCAGTGTCTGTTTGAAGACGAGCGCTGATCTGATTTGCTGTGATGACACGATTTCTCAAGGCCAAGGTACGGATAAATCGATCCTGGGCTTGAGTTGTCGCACGTAACCTTTCATTTTGGGTAAGCCGACGCATATCAAAATTTGTTTTCTGGTCACTAAAACAATAAAATTGATGTTTCCACCCTGGAATTCAATGCCACAATGACTGTAACATTCAAAGTCAGAGTCGTGCAAATCTTGGGTTGGACCCCCATGATGATCCCAAGCATCACCTGCATTCCATGCGGTAGCTATTGGTGCGTTTGGGCGTCACATGTAACTGGAAATGTTTCTTCTGTTAGGTTCTATAGTGACTTTTTTCGTAGTCATTTGCATATTTTAGTATTATGCCCCCAAAATCAAATATCCTCTACTTTTTTTGAATAGTATATTTGAAGTTTTGATTGCTACATGTTCTTGCTACATGACTGCTGACCGAAGCGTGCCACCAATGATTTACAACGTATCGTCAAGACCAGGCCTTTGGGGACTGTCACAATTTCTATGAATTTCATTCCATGCGGTAGCTATTGGTGCGTTTGGGCGTCACATGTAACTGGAAATGTTTCTTCTGTTAGGTTCTATAGTGACTTTTTTCGTAGTCATTTGCATATTTTAGTATTATGCCCCCAAAATCAAATATCCTCTACTTTTTTTGAATAGTATATTTGAAGTTTTGATTGCTACATGTTCTTGCTACATGACTGCTGACCGAAGCGTGCCACCAATGATTTACAACGTATCGTCAAGACCAGGCCTTTGGGGACTGTCACAATTTCTATGAATTTCTCAAATGATAGATTGATAAACAACACCGAATGATTTGTTCAGTTTAACTTTAAAGCCAATAACCCTGCGTATTTGCCAATAAAAAGTTTACGATATCCATCATAATACTACCACTATTCGATAACTGTTATTAAAATCTATTGTTTTTGAAAAACATCTATACGAAATGAAATGAAATGGAGTTTAACGTCCTACTGTTCTGCTCCTAACCTGGGCTAATGAAGACGGAAACATCTATACGAAAACAACTGTTCTGGTAACGGATGCGTACCATCATAATTTATCATATATTATTGTTATACTATTTTCTTGCGTTACAATGAAATAATTCGACAAACATTTTCCTAGTAATGACAACTTAGAGGTTATTAAATCATAGTGGTGCTCTTAAGGGGACATAACTTGTATTGTAAGTGGAGGTTATTACATAATGTTGTTATTCCATATTTTAAGTATGCAGTAAAGTTTTCACATAGCCAAGATACCGATTTAGGTAAGACACTTTGCTAAGTGGAAAAATTAAGTATTTTTACTTAACTTTAAAAAAAACCTTTAAATACGGACTGAAATTACACCAAGGGTCTTATGATTTTTCACAGAACAGAATGACATTTGAAAATTTTATACTGTTATTCAAGTTCCCCACATGCACCCGTCATTGGATAACTGTATCAGTTTTGAGAATTAGTGTTTATGCTGTTAGACTCATTGAACATTTTCACCTTTTTTCAGCACCATGGAAGATAACATCCTATGTATGCCCTATCCACGGTGGTTTTACATTTAGAACCATTAGCAGATTAACCAATGAAGTAAGATACGTTATCCAACATTTTGTGTTATTTGTATGTTGTAGTCGTTGTAAGTCTAAAGCATGTCATATCTTACCAATCTCTCATGACACCAATGCTTCATATCCAATTTTACAAATGTCTATTAAAAAATATAGCCTCTATCGGGTTCACAATGTTTAAAGAATAAAATCCGTCAAAAAGGATTTAGATAAATGGTGGTGGGAAAAGTTGCAGAACAAAAATTTGTCACCTGTCAAAGTTACTATATTTAGAATAGGGGGTGGAAGATCTTGAAATTGCCGTGTCAAAAAAACAAACAAATAGGTATAGCGCGTTCATGAACCGAATTGTGTTTAATTAATTGATATCTTAATTAGGTTAGTATGAATAATTAGTGACGTTAATTCTGTTCTTTTGCATAGTGACTTCGTGAAGTCATGACCTCAGAAATATTCTTCTTAATTACATACAATTATCTACTTTTTATCTGCGAACATTTTGCCATTCAATTTTGGGCACAAAACAGGTTGGTTTCTAGGATTCATTTTGCATAAACAGAAAATATACTCAGCCAAATTAAAAACTTGACACTCGGGATTTTTGGGCTAGATTTTTAATATTTGGTTTAAGGCAACTATTCTAGTGTTATGTTGTGCACAGACAACCTTTACATCAACAGAAAGCAAGAATACGTCTCGCCGAAATTCCTTGACATTGATAACGTTCGTGATGTCACAGTACGCCCCAAAATGAAATTCACAGACTTGGAGAACAATCCGAATAAAGTGTTTAGTAACGGTTGTGGCCTCCTCTAGCGTCTCGTACTGCCACACAACGTCTTCTCATGGATCTCAGAACATTAGTAAACATTACCCGAGGAAGACGTCGCCACTGCTCAGTAAGAGCATGTTGAAAGTCTTGGTGGATTCACTTGCTGACGAACACGTCGACCCAATTCGTCCCAGATGTGTTCAATAGGATTTAAGGTCGGGGCTAAGCGACGGCCAATCCAGGACTTGGACTCCGGCATTTCTTAAAAAAATCTGGGTAGCAATTGCTGTATGGGGTCAAGCATTGGCTTGTTGAAACGTTAGCCCAGGCCCATGTCTCTGCGTAACGTTCACCTCATCTGCAGTACACTCGGACCCTGCCATCGGCAAATCACTAAAGACAACGGAATTCCACTGTCTTTGAGTAAATCTTATGTGTCTTGTGTCCCACACAAGTCGGTTACGGCGATGAAGAGGTGTCAATATTGGTCCATTACATGGCCTCCGAGCTCGAAGACCAGCAGCCTGCAAGCGATTTCGAACAGTTTGTGCAGTTACCCTTCCACCAAACATCTCTCTACTTGTGGAGGTGACAAATCTGTTTCTAAGATGACGTAATCGTATTGCTTGATCTTCCTGGAGTGACGTCACACGTGGCGCTCCCGCCCTTGGGCGGCGGGAATAGTTTCAGTTTGAATCACTCTCATTCTACGATTAATTATTGTCTGGCGTGAACAATTAAAGGCTCTTGCAAAAGTGACCACAGACTGACCAGCATAGAGCCTACCTATAGCATGACACGTTCTACATTTGAAAGGCGCGGCGTTTTCTAACAAAGATGAAAATAACAATTTTAATTTGTTTTTCCAGTTCAAGTTACGTGTGCGCGTTCAGTTTAAGCAAACTTGCATCGATTGACCTCACGAGTTGGTGTTTGCACGTATTTTTCAGGCTTTTCATCTTTATATGCCCACACCATTACACTTCCCCCACCCCATCGTTTCGTTTCGAAGACGCAGCAGTCTGCAAGACGTTCCCCAAGACGTCTCCACATACGTGCCATCAGCGTGATAAAGATGAAAGCCACTCTCATCACTGAAGAGCACACTTTTCCAGTCTACTCTTCTCCATGTTTGGTTGTCCTTGAGCCCATATCAAACGCCGCTTACGGTGATGATCCCTGAGGATAGCTCCAACATAAGGTCGTCGGTACACGGAGTCCTACTTCTCTTAGACGACGTCTTACGGTGTTGGCACCTACTGGTCCTTGTCTTCCGACGACTGCTGCACCTGTTCGAGTCGCTGGGCGGAATCTGTCACGCAGATGAGTGACCCGGATGTAGCGGTCTTGAGCCTGGGTTGTAACGCGTTGTGGACCAGGACGTTGACGGTCACGTGTTGATCCAGTAACCCTAGTCTCGGCATCTCTAGCTCAATTCCTTCACATGTCCAACAACAAATTACGACAGATTGACGTTTCACAGTTCATGTACTGCACAAAACATGCTTTTAAACATGCTGCACGTGAATATTGGGTTTTTCATGTGCATCTCGTGTTTTCAGCAAGAACACCGCTTAATGTCACAGTTTACTTATATTTGATTACTAGAAGGATTAGCTGACGGAGCAAGATCCATGTCGATTTGGGTGTGTCGCATCTATAAATTGAACAATCAGCTATAAACTTTAAAACATCAGTTAAAAATATTGGTCTGATAATCTTTCTATGACTTTTAAAACATCAGTTAGAAATATTGGTCTGATTATGGACAATAAATCTTTCTACGGAATCACATATTAGTAGTTTACAGACCTTAAGGAACGAACGAACATATTGCTGTATTAGCTTGATAACGCCGAGAGAACTCTTCGAAACGTCGCCTTTTTTCCACTTCAATGTTCAATTTTTAGCACAATAAAATAGCACCCTACTCATTTCTTTAATTCAAATTAATCTTTAAAACAAGCTGAGAAGTTAGCGACAATCCTTACATTTGGCATCCTTTAATGTGTAGGTTTGCTCCAATATGACCTTGTCTGTTGAGGAAACTGGTAGCTGTGGTAAAGGGGTTTGATTATTTCTGATGGTCCGAAGTCTATTTATATACTCGTACTCTACATATCACTTTATAGCCTAAAATATATTGAAGGCCTGATATTATCAAATTGTCAGAATATTTGGAACTCATAGGTGAGCTCAACATATATTCTGAATAAAACTATAGAAGAAACGTATAATCCCTTAATCCTAAATACTGAGTTCTACACTTGGGTTGGGTTATGGTAAATATCCTTTGAACTACACTTCAAATACAAATGTTTACTATCATTTTTTTGATATACGAATTCTAAAAATACGATTGAAAGAATCACTTCTTTATTGAGCTTATTCATGCTATTTTTCTTTTATTAAAGTTCAATTTCGTGTTCGTCTCAAACGGTTTTTAAATTAGATAAAGCATTCGTCTTCGGTTTTGCTGGGTCAGAAAGTTGACTACTTAATCTGGAGGTTTCGTGTCCAATCCTGGTGTTGGCCAAGAAAGTTCATCGGGATTTTCCGACGTTATTCCTCCATACCAGTGGTGCAAGAATGGGGGCCTAGAAAGGTAAAACATATAGTCGTTCGGATGAAAACCGAGATCCCGTGCACGTCGTTTTATTTCCCCATACATAAAGATCGTTAGATAAAGCATTTGTCTTCGGTTTTGCTGGGTCAGAAAGTTGTCTACTGAATCTGGAGGTTCCGTGTCCAATCCTGGTGTTGGCCAAGAAAGTTCATCGGGATTTTCCGACGTTATTCCTCCATACCAGTGGTGCAAGAATGGGGGCCTAGAAAGGTAAAACATATAGTCGTTCGGATGAAAACCGAGATCCCGTGCACGTCGTTTTATTTCCCCATACATAAAGATCGTTAGATAAAGCATTTGTCTTCGGTTTTGCTGGGTCAGAAAGTTGTCTACTGAATCTGGAGGTTCCGTGTCCAATCCTGGTGTTGGCCAAGAAAGTTCATCGGGATTTTCCGACGTTAATTCCTTCAAACCAGTGGTGCAAGACTTGGGGCCTAGAAAGGGAAAACATATAGTCGTTCGGATGAAAACCGAGATCCCGTGCACGTCGTTTTATTTCCCCACCATAACCCCAGACTCGTGCTACATAAAGATCGTCAACAAATATTGAATATGTAGCTTCTATTTCCCTTAATTTTATTATAGCTTGTATTTCTTTATATATGAATAGGACTATTGTGAAAACGAATGGAGAAAATCAACATTAGAGGTAGAATGTATTGTTGGAGATGGCTTAGATTTTATGTCTCCAGTTAATAGTAATTGTAACCCTTTACTCCGAAGAGGGAACCGTAAGTATATGTATAGATATAGATATTTATGTCATTGTGAACGTTTAGACTTTGTCTTTCTATGACTCAAGGTATATTGTCACTCATCCGTATGTACACTTTTCGTCGACATTTATTTCATTGATATTTATTTCCTGCTAATTTCTAGTTATATAATCGCATACGCGTGAAGCGGGGCTCCATTACCGAGCGACACTACAAGCTCACATACATTTTACTAAGACATTAAAACGGTCGGAAAACATCCAAAATACAGATTTAGACGAAACGGGTCTACGTACGTCCGTTACTCACAAATATACCCTTCAAAAAAAGTAGGGGATATTCAGAAACAATATTAGAGGAAACCATTGTATGTTAATAACAGGCCAATTGCCTACACATGAACATAAACAGTTCCAATGGGCGGCTTATCTGACTCGCAAAGAGATACACTATCAAAAGTGAAAATGGACGTTTTTTGATTTTTGTCTTAATAATGAGTAATTGCTCCACCAATCCTCAGACATTCAGCAATTCGTCGTGGCATGCTCCTAATCAACCGTCCAATCTGACCCACTTCTCTTGCAGTGCCACGGCCAATTCTTGCTCTGCGACGTAATGAAAACGTCTCCTGATCATATCCCAGACATGCTCTATAGGGGAAATTTCAGGACTCATGGCTGGCTAAGGTATATGGACAATATGGTGACGCTGGAGGTAGTCATTCACGACACGAGTGCGATGGGCATTCTTATCTTGAAAGATGAAACGTCGACCTGCGAACTATCGATGCCAGGATGAGGTCGCGGTAGTACACACCAGCGACCCTTCCTTGAACAATATGCAAGTTCGTTCTGCCAGTCATAGTGATCCCCCCCCTCCCTTCCACACCATGACTACTCACGTGGGTATCTGCCATGCTGTCTAAAGTTAACGTTAGCATGACGCCCATTTACACGCCTCCCATCGCTGAAGTACAGAGTCATGCCTCATTGACACTTTCACGCAATCGTGGTACGCTAAAGTTCGTACCAAGACGGAAACTATGCGTACCATCGCGGGAAACAGTCGTAAAATATGCGTACCATTGCGTACCATTGCGTGCCATGCGTGACAGGGCAGACCCAAAACCTTGGATTTGTCCAAGCTCATGCCACGCACTCCAAGGCGTATCAGGGCGTACCATTTTCGTAAACTATGCGCAAACTATGCGTACCCGGTGCGTAAAAGTGTCAATAGAAATTATGTCACGCACTTTCACGCACTGAGGGGTACTCAATGTCACGCATTGGTGCGCAAGGTTCATCACTGGTACGACAAGATCGGCAATGGTGCTCAGGGGTTGATGTAGGTATCTGCCAGTGGTCAGGAAATCCTCCCGCCACTTGACGTGTGTCCCTCATTGGTGCTCACAGTTTACTCATTGATCCTCATAGTGTACTCACTGGTGCTCATAATTTACTCACTGGTGCTCATAGTTTACTCTCATATACTCATTGGCAGGTTTGCTTCACTCACAGACGCCGCACCAATCAGAGGCCTCCACGGGGGGTTTCTTCATAGCAACATGCTTGCCGTCAACGACAGTTGTGGTAATTCCATCTGCTACTAAAACCTTCAGCAATAGTCTTCCACTGGTCTTCTGTTCTAGGACATACTAATACTTCTGGCTTGTAGACCTTGACGATAGCTTTACATACTTCTGGTAGAAACTTGCATTAGGAATCGCCACTGGCTAAGAAGCGGAGTGTGATTGCTAACTTCAGGCCAACTTCAAGAGGTTCTCTCATAAATGTTTTATTCTTCTTCAGGTGTGGGGTCAACTTTTCAATCATCTCTTGAAACAGTTCGGGGGTGATACGTAGGAAGTTCCGGTAACCTCTGCGATCTTCCTTGTGTAGTTCCGACAATAACTGGTCATAATGGTCAAAATGTTGTCTCCTTGTCAACCATTGCCTCACCCAGAGTCTCCTGACTTTTCTTTTCTTGCTGCAGGCAGACGTTCGGTCGGTCGGTGTCAGGTTTTGATTGTAGAACAATATTTCGTTCACAATCACGATTTGGGGCAATCTGACCCACTCCTCTTGCAGTACCACGGCCAATTCTTGCACGCCTTGCAAAGATACACTAAAATGTAAATCTTATGCATGAACCGATAGGAAAGCAAACATTGATAGATAAACCAGCACTCGGCAGTTTTCATCAACCTTTCTTTGAAGTGTTAAATCTGACAATGAACCTCTCCCACGTGTATGGCAGACACTACTGCGTGCCCTAACCCTAACCCTAGTTTCTGGTGGGGCGATAAGTTCTTCATCTGTGAACATACTCTCAAAGCATGTCAAGTGTCCATGACTATTTATCATATCACAACCTGCATAGGTATTTGCATTTCAATATCCCCTACCTTTTTTTGAAGAGTATATAAGTAATCCCTCTCCGTTCTGTAAACCACACTCTGTAAGAGCAAGTTCGTGTCTAGATTACAGCGTATCTGTTAAACCTAATTTGCAGTTGTACATTTATAAAGTTATGCTTTTTCATTGCGTCTTCATTGTTCGCCCTAAAAGCGTTGCTGATACCTGGGAGTGATTGGCAACAGCTTGGGCAGTGTGGCCAGTGTCGAGTCTTCCAAGCGCCTGGTTCCTCTGAGCTGTCGTGAGTCCTGGCATGCTGCTGACGTTGTAGTGTCAATAATTCAACCAGGTATTAGGGTGCATTTTATAGGAGAACACATTACAATCTCAGAAGTCAGGTCGCGTTTTTGAGAATATTTCCTGGGTTCAATTCTGTGTTTGGGAAGGAGCCTAATTGCTCATTTAAAGTTGGAAATGTGGTCACAAATATACAATAAAAACAATTGGCAAGTTTTATGCAATGCGTCTATTCAGAGTAACATATCAACCTAGAGTTTCTTTTGCTGCTTAGTACAATTCATCACTATGTCCTATGTGCGTATCAGTTTTTATTTGATTCTACATCTTATGAGTCACTAAGGAATAAGTATGTTACATTTGATAAAGGGTATTTTGATCAAAATCAGCCTTACAAGTTATGCAGAAAAAAAAAGAATAGAGATTTTATTATTGTCATTGCTTGTTATATATACTGAGCGCCATGGCAACGCATCACTTAGTTTTTCGTATAACAAAATGATATCTTATTTATTTTGCTTCTTATTGTGAACAATATTCAAATGGGAACACATCAATAACAACACATTATGGATGTTTAATCTGTAAGAGGGGGTCAAAACCAAAAGTACGACACAGATGTCAGTAGCGCGTGTGTCCTCCACGGGCTCTTACGCACGCTGTGCAGCGACGTACCAATGTCTGGAAGAAGGCCTAGGGCAAATTGTTCCATTCTTGGTGTGCATCTGTGATCTCCGATACAGACGGCTTCCAATCTCATCCCAGACATGTTCTATCGATGCCGGAGACATGGCTGGCCAGTGATGTTGTTTAGCGACTTAACACCTGAAAGTAAGTGAATGGGCTTTGTAGTAAGATGTTATATTTTATTTGTCTTTTTTTGATGAATTTGACAGATTAGGATCTTCTTATTCGAATTTATTAGGCACACGATAAAAAACTACGTGTGAAATGATCTTGGTTGGGTGACATAAATCCAATGAAAAATATTCGGATATTGACTAATCCTATTTGTAACCTATCTAAAGCTTGCTTTCACATCACAGTATGGAAAATTAATCAGTTTTTAAAAATACATGAGTAAATAGGAGAAAATATAGCAGGCGGAACAACTGACATATTGAATAGTCAATGCGTTTGGGTGCTGGTTCAGACTGTAATCGCGACCATAGTCTACATCCGAAGGTCGCCCAGGTAGTCCATACAAAAACGGCGGTATTCGGACGTGCATTATCCTGTTTGAAGTGCTGAAATTGTGGGTGCGCTCGAAACATCGGAACAACAATTGGTTGCAAGACATCATCACGGCAGGCTACAGCATTAACGCAACCACTGCAAATGTGTAGGGCGGTCCGGTGATGAAATGTGAAGCCCCCCACGCCATTACACTTCCCCCACCCCATCGATTCGTTTCGAAGACGCAGCAGTCTGCAAAACGTTCCCAAGACGACTCCACACACGTTGACGGGCATCAGCCTGATAAAGATGAAAGCGACTCTCATCACTGAAGAGCACACTTTGCCAGTCTACTCTTCTCCATGTCTGGTGTCCTTAAGCCCATATCAAACGCCGCTGACGGTGATGATCCCTGAGGATAGCTCCAACATAAGGTCGTTGTGCTCGGAGTCCTACTTCTCTTAGACGACGTCTTACGGTGTTGGCACTTACTGGTCCTTGTCTTCCAACGACTGCTGCACCTGTTCGAGTCGCTGGGCGGAATCTGTCACGCAGATGAGTGACCCGGATGTAGCGGTCTTGAGTTGTGGACCAGGACGTTGACGGTCACGTGTTGATCCAGTAACTCGAACACGTTCCACCAACCTTACAGTAGTGGACTGATGACAATTGAAGTGTCTGGCAATAGCACGTGTAGACATGCCAGCCCTGGGCATTCCCATGGCTTCATTCCGTTGATTTTCAGTAAGTCTCGGCATCTCTAGCTCGATCGTTCACACGTCCAACAACAAATTATGACAGATTGACGTTTCACAGTTCATGTACTGCACATTAAGTTGAAAACATGCTTTTAAAGGGCTCACACACAATGCTGCACGTGAATATTGGGGTTTTTCATGTGCATCTCGTGCAATTTTTTTTTGTGCACACGGGCCGATATTTTTTGCGTTTGGGAGTATTGTGTGAAACAATAGTTCATAGTATTGCATACTATTATACATACAAAACCACCTAGTAATAAAATATTTGGGAAAAAATGTGATGCGTTTTCGATAGCGCTCAGTATAGAAAAGGCTTTATTGTTAAGATTTTCCCTGTTCACCGTTCATAAAATACGGACATATCTTGCAAGGTAACCACTTGTTTCTTTTAACATGGAGTGCGGTGTCGAATAGTGTAACGTGAATG